AGGACTTTCAAATATTTTCATTGAAATACATATGGATCAATAATATGTAAAACTATTCTAAATTTCAAATTAATAGCATTAATAATTACTATGACAAACGGACAGATAAATCGCACCATAATGGTTCCTCAGTAACGTTTTGGTACGGTACCCTTAAAAGCTGAAACCCTCGAAAGAAAAAACAACAAAATAAATAAACATCTCCAAGTAACATATTGAGATGGTAAACACTTTTATATTTATTTGTTTAGACTCGCCGAATATATCTTATCTCACTGCCAGTCACTTCATTGAGCAGAATGAAACAAATCTTCAAAAGTTATATAGGAGACAATAGACACAGGATCAAGATATAGATAGACCCTTGTGTTAAGAAGGCTGTGTAACGCACATTCAGTTAAAACTTGAGAATTTCGAGGACTACGTTATCCTACGTTATCTGGGACCGGAGACCCGCAAGGGAAGGGCTTCTAGTTAAAGGAGTATAAACTAGTTCATAGTTCTAGGTGATATGACAGACTTGTGTAATGGTGCGTGCTGATTGGGAACATACATAGACATTTATTACTTTAACACACTGTACAGGGATGACAAATACAGTACAAATAACAATTAAAATTAACAACTAAACTAATAACAATATACCTAAACAAATATAACAAAAACGTAATGATTGTGTCTTATTTTGAATACACTATCGGGACTTAACACGATGACAAACTTTTTTTGCAGGTAGATAGAGGGAGACTTTGTACAAAAGTCGTTTGCTTGACCACTTCTGTCTCATTCACGTTTCTTCCGTGAAGCAGTTATGTTTGCATGGCTGTGTTTCAATTTGAAGGGTGGGATATGACAGTAAATTTACAGGGTACTGAACACCTGAGTCCTCAGGAATAGAAGGTATCACGGTCGAAACAGTATACTCTGTTATGTCCATGCTACTGCTCATGTCTATAGGCGACGGTTACTATTTTCCGTCAGGTGGGCCGTCAGCTTGTTTGGAGTCTTATTAGGGGGACTATGCTCAGCAGTGAAGAGTTGATGACTGATATGATAAAAGTTACAAGAAATCTAAATATCTTAACATCATAGTCATATCCCACTCTACAAACTGAAATATAGTCATACAAACACGAGTGGGATAGAGGTACCCAAGCAAACGACATCTTTACAAAGTCTCCGTCAGATTAAAAAGAGTAATGTATGCCGCGTAATCAAAATATGTCAACAATATTTCAATTTTAATAGAATATAAATTCAGAATAACTCAGCTTCATGCCCATTAAGTATTCGAGAGCTGAAATATTTCCGCGTTGAAAATGAAGCCTCAGTTTAAAGTGCATTTTAAAAACTGTGTCAAGATTAGACTGAACCTGCATACATTAATATTACTATGCAGACTCCTGTTTAAATTAAAAAATAATAAAAAATCTAACAGTTTGTAAACTATCCTTAAGGACTTACAGTCCGTACAGTTTTTATTATAAATATTTTTAAATTAAACAAGTCAAATCAATTGAAAATAAACTGTAAGTAGGCTTATATAGAAGCACTTTTAAATTACCAGTTTTTGTGATACTAAAAACCATACATGTTAATTTTGTTGCCAAACTTCCATTATGAATGCTCTAGGTCATTGGAAATGATTGTTCTCCAATACTTGTGCTAAATCTCCGCTGCCACTGAAGCCTGCCCATACCTGTCCAAAGTTCAGCTCCGAACTAATCCGTCGTTCCAATTTTAATCCTATAACAAAAGTACAAGAATCAATTTCCAATACCGCATCTAAAGTTTGATAGTTTACGTACCAGTGGCTTGTCGGTCTGTTGTCGGATTATGCCAAGTCACTACAGAATAGAGAATTAGATGTCATATTACTTGATTGTAGGCAAATATAGTTTGAATAGTTTATTTCTAGGCTTGGAATATTTCACATGTAATAAAGGAAATATCATAAGCTACGTGAAATCATACGTCACTCCTGCTACGTAGCATCATATATACCTAATGCTACAAATCACTCTGCAATGAAATAGCTACTGCGTTCGAATTTCTTCGTGAATCATCGACTGCACTCGGTTACCAGTGAAGTGAAATCATAGAAGACAATCGACGAGCAAATAGAGACTTTATCACACTGCGTTAAAGTCTCAACACGCTTTCTCTTATCATGAAAATCATGATGTATATTTCACTTTAACAGCCAATAGTCGCGAGTGCGAAAATAAATCATTGCGAGGTAAAATCACTTTTTATGATTTGTCATTTCGATGCTAATAAAAGTAACAATTTCACTAAATGATAATGAATTAAATAGCAACAATCATGGCATATCTAGCAGCCAGCTTTTTTTAGCTCAGGGATCTAGATATCTACCTGTAGTATAATAGAGAATCAAGATTTTACCAGAGGGAGACTTTGCACAAAAGTCGATTGCTTGGGTACCTCTGTTCCATTCGTGTTTCTACCGTGAAGCAGTTGTGTTTGCATGGCTGTGTTTCGGTTTGAAGAGTGGGATATGGCGTGAATTTACTGGATACAGAGGAATAACACCTGAGTCCTCAGGAATGGCAACGCATGGGGGTATCATGGGCGAAACAGTATACTCTGTTATGTCCATGGTACTGCTCATGTCTATAGGCGACGGTTACCACTTTCCATCAGATGGGTCGTCAGCTTGTTTGTCATTCTAAGTTGTATAAAGAAAAAAAGATTAAATTGGTAAATCTTTTTTGATTTTTAGATCTTCCCCTTTTATTTTGTAATATAATTATAAATTTTCGACACAGTTCCCTTTTAAAATTCAGATGTAAATATCTTCAAATCAATTTATAATCAAACAAAAAGCTATCAAAATTAAAATATTCAATATCGGAATATAATTCTATTTATGTTCCATCAAGAAATCAATGTGGATATTCGTCGAAGCGGCGCCTAGTCCTCTTGTCTGCCAAAATTAATATTGGGCTTAATTTGTAGTTACATTTATTATTAATTTGAATTGATTTTGATAACAATAGGAAGTTAATATAATATAATTAGGAAGTTGTAATCCTTGTTAGCTATTAATTGGCTTATTGATTTCTGTTTAAGTACATTCACGTGCAAGTAGCGCCTTCGTCACTATCGTAGAAACAGAACCGCGTTTACAATTCTTTATCTATGTTACTAATAGAGTAATTTTAAAACTTCTTCCAAAAAAAGAATCTCAAATGGCCAGATTTTTTGTAGATATTTTCAATGTAATTTCAATAGTTTTTTTTTTTAATAATTGAAAATGGCAATTTTGTTTATTTTTTAAATTCAAACATAAATTTGTTTCGCGCGTTTTACCATAGATGCATACTTTTATAGTATTTAAGCGCACTTTTTTTATATTTTATTTTTCTTCTTGTCGTAGCATTCCATACATTTTTGAATAGTTCAAAAATCTAATACAAATTTCATGTAAAAATAGACTTTATTCGGAAATCAAACATATAGTCATGAGCACTCGACCTAAACAAACAATAAACACAAATAATGTTATAACTCTTTGACAATTTGATAGACATAATACAGCACCTATAATTTCAGTAAATGCTTTCACATTTTTGGATTGATTGACATGAGATTAGGCACATGAAATATAATATCAAGCCAAAGGTTCCAAATGACAGATGTCACACGAGTATTAAATATGGCCGCGCTGTCAAGTGAAGCCTGAGCGGTGAAAACAAAGCGCGGGAAAATATTGAGGATTGATTGACGAGCTTTTAATACTTTTTTTTTTTATTAACAAGTTAGATACATTTTGTTACGTAAACGGCTACTTTAATTGTGAATAAACAAAAATATAGATAGAGCATCGAGTGTCCAGGAAATGTCATTTTAACTAACATAACTTTGAGACTTATTTTTTTTAACAGAGCAATATGCGTTATTTTTTCAGTCATGCTAATAATTTTATTAAAATTTTCTCAGTTCTGAATAATTCATTAGTCATTTTTGTACGAACGTAGCCGAGTCAAGCCAGTCGGTAAATTGACGAGACAATTTTTTTTTAATGATGGTCAATAGTGTTGCCAGTTTAGCAAATTTAATAAAAATTTGCAATTATCGAAATTTAAAAAATAGATATTGAGTAAATAAATAAATTACTATTTATATTTTGTAAAGATGTTGGTTTAACAATTACTGAACAGGTTTTTGTCTTTTTTTTTTTAGTTCGGTCGTCTACTCACTATTATTCTTAAGATAATGGATAGTGGTATAGTAGATATTTTCTTTTTTTTTAATTACTGTTCTTTCAGATCGAATAACTAATTAGTAAAATTATTCGAACGCGGATATTAGTATATTACAAGTTTAATAGTCGAATTATAAAATTAGTAATTACTAATTATCCGAATAACGAAATCATTCGAATTCGCGCAACGCTAATTCTGATATCCCGATTTACATATACATAGATAAAAAAGTCGATCTGTTTATAAAGAAGCATCTTTATGGTGATACTCCATTTATATAGTCCAAGGACCAGAGGGCCTACCATGAAATGTTTTCCGAAATTTCGGAGTCAAACGAAACAGAAATTTGATGTTAAAATTACATAATACATGGAACCGTTTGGAAATATTAAAAATGTTAAAATATTGTTCCTTTGGACTTTTATGATACGATGTATGACGAACGAAATGTTAAACTCCATTTATTGGTCCGATTTTGGTATAAACAAAAACAGGAAGTTGAGTCCGAAATTTCGGAATTTCATTTCATGGTAGACCCGCAGATCTAATGACGAGCTATCTATAACTATATAGTATCTGTTGATATTCCAACAAACAAGTAAAATTAATATTAGTTTTACTTCACCAAATATATTTTATATTCAAAATTAAACTGGCTCCGGTCTGTGTGATTAGTTCATTTCCAAAATGAATAAGAATATACAATGTAATGATAAACTAAAATTGATCTCTTTCGCAGCAGTAATAGAGTGTACTTTTGTTTGTTCACAGGAGAGTGGAGAGGCGAGAGGCGAATGTTGGACATAACACGCGATAAGCCCGTCAAAGTGTGCGTCCGCGTTGTGGTGCCAGTCCGCGATCATCCTAAAGTGAGTGACGTCATATAACGGTGCATTCACACTGCACAATTTATTTTTAAAAATTTTTTTTATTTGCTAAGTTGAATGAATCCTCCTGAAATTAAACAATAACATTAAGTAATTTTTTATAGCTTGAATAACGCATGTTTTTTTAAGTTGTGAAGGATTTTTAACCATCATCCTCTTCTTACCCTTATCTCAATTATTGTGATCCGCGTAATATAGACTTTTAGGGTTTTATAAAAAGAATATAATTATGTTCTCTTGCTTAATGTTATTAAAATATAAACTATGTTAAAACGACCTTTATTCATTTTTTTTTATTTCACAAATTTCAGTAAAAAGTAGAGGAGGATTAATTTTTTTTTATTTTTTACCAATTTATTATCATCAAAAGTTACGTGGTATGAAAACATAAAAACCTGTTTTGTTTATTTTTTTGCATATTTTAACAACTTATTTGGCCTTTATACTCACATTTTGATTTTCAATCCACAATTTTGAGCTTTTTTATATTTTTTTCTAAGCAAAGACAATTTTTTTAAAATAATATTTTTATTGCTTAAATACCCACTCACTACTTCCTATGCCACTGCGTTAGGTTGACTGGAAGAAATCTATTTTAGAGATAAGTTCGCCTTTGCTAACATTGTTATTAACTTATTGTTGTTACTGTATGTTTTAGTGCAATAAAGAATATATATAAAAAAGACGACTAAGGGAACTTTATGGTCGAGGTTTCCCTCGACCATAAAGTTCCCTTAGTCTAAAAAAACTAAAATATAATGTGTGCACTTACAAAACTTTTAACAGTAAATTAATTTGTATCTATTTTTACGGATTTCTTTTGGACAGAACCCTCAAAATTATAGAAAAAAAGTCTCTGCTGAACACGACTAAAGCTGATTACTTTAGGCAATATAATAGGTTGAAGACGGCACGTTATTCACTCGCCTTACCATATAATGCTTCCTTTGACATAATTATGTACCTATTTCAGCGTAACTCGCTAAGCTGTATGAATACATATAGCAATAGTTTTTTTTCTTTCACCTATAATTTAAGCTTGTATTAAAATAAAAAAAAACAAAAAAGCTTCAGTTTTTTAAATACCGATCCGATTTTGATAAATTTTTTATGGGATCAGTCTATAAGTACATGGTAATGGCTGGAAAAAAGCCATATAGTATATTTGAAAAAAGAAAAAAAACAATTATTTAAATTTTTCAAACCATTTTTGTATCTTGTACCAGAGAGGCCTATATTCAGCAATAGGCAGTTAACGGCTAATATTGAATAATTTATTTATTTATTTATTTATTACATCCACTGGGTGAGCCTTACAGTCTTCCAATACGCTCACCCAGGACAGCATGAGTACAATAACATATAAAAAGGAATATTACACTAAAATATTAAACAAAAAATAATATAAAAAGATTTAACTGAAACAAAAAACGTCTGAACACTGAAATATTCTGTGGTCACTCGACAAAACTCCAGCAAATTGGAGGCAAATACATCCAATTGCGGATACTGGCTCAAAATACCATTGAGTAGTTTCAATAACTGTATATTCTGGCAACCCTATTTACAAACACATGGTCAAAAAAAATCTGTTTTCAATGAAGCATTTGTATAGAAATACTCCATCTATACAATATAAGGTCTATAAAACTAGTCCCCACTTTCCGCCAGGCGGGCCGTGAACTTGTTAGCCATTCCAAATTCTATAAAAAAAAATAATTACATACCGCTCATCTTTCACCCACAGCCTAATTAGAGGCTTTCATACTAGTTAGGGCTGTCCATCAATGTCGAGCGTGTATTGCGTAGACACTGCCGCGTAGCAATTGCTACGAATGCGTAGAGGGTGCTACGTACGTAGATGCCTTCGTAGCGGGACTATAAATTATGGCAATAATAAAGCGAATTACGTACAACTTGTATTATGTAATTTCAACACAATGAAAATTGTTATGAAAATAAATCTACACTAATATAATATAAAAAAGTGTAAGTTTGTTTGTTTGAACGCACTAATCTCCACAACTACCGTGTGGTTCCAACATAGAATGGCCACCACTTCCAGGCAAATTATTAGATCGTTCCTAGGAACAATACATAATAAAAAAAATATTTATTGCAATAAAAAAAAATACTACAAGCTTCATAATACGAAAATATCATACCGGGATCATTGCTACGAAATACTTAAATCTGTCACCGAATACTCGTATCACATCTGTTAATTAAACCCATCTCCATTGTAGTATACGTAATACCAACATAATAAATATAGTAGGGATGGGCGACTTTAAACGTATATAGTTGCAATATCTATATAATATATAGGCCAAATATCTATATATTTCAAAGCACGATATTATCCGTAACACAGCACTTATCATCATCAACATATTGGAAGTCTGTCCACTGCTAAACATAGGCCTCCTTCACATAGATATCCGACCTGGTACGAACGATATCGAAATCGATAATGACTCACTCAATATACAGGTGTCGAATCTAGTATAGGTGATATGGAAATTAAATTCATAAGAACTTTTCGAGCCCACCGTGGATGACACACAGCCATGGAATCTCTCAGGATTTACTCATCAACTTCATTGACACGTTGTTGTGATATGTGTTGGATTTCAATTTACCTAATCGCAATTCATACATTTAATTATATCTAGATATCTATATATATATATATATATATATATATATATATAGATATTGTGTCTATATATCTATCCATACAAATATATAACATATGTGGATGTATGGTACGAATGGGAATTTATTAATACGCTTACGATATACTGAAATCTAATATATAGTTACGAACCGATATCGCACCGGTACGCACCGGTATCCCCCATGCCTAAAATACAGTGACCTGCGTCTGACAATTACGAAGGCAATTCATATCGTCACGCACACACGTAGTACAAGTTACGTGATTTTAGAGTGCATGTCACGTATACTTTAGTCACGCATTATTATCGTCACGCGATATTTTCAGATTTATAGGTACATTTTAATTAATTCGCAATAATAATAGTGGTAAAGTGTCAAATATCATGTTTAAAAGGGTATGTAGTGATGTGACATTATTTTAGTGCTTGTTTTAACGACGTGTGTTTTGCGTTAAACTGATGACAATAAATAAATACACCTAGTCTTTGAAACGTTTTAACTTAGGTTTAATTTAAAAAATAAATGACTTTGAAGTGTATAGATTGAATTTTTTTTATACCACTGAGGTGGCAAACAAGCATACGGCCCACCTGATGGTAAGTGGTTACCGTAGCCTATGAACGCCTGCAATACCAGAGGTATTACGCGTGCGTTGCCGACCCTGAAGAAACCTCTTTACCCCCCTTTTGAAGAACCCCATGCTGTAGTCTCTTGAGAAAACCTCGGCAGAGAGCTGATATAATGAAAAGATAAAATTTGATGCGTACTACATTGCAGTTTGATGGCAAGTAAGTTACAGTACATAACCAGAGAGAGACTTTACAAAAGTCGATTGCTTGGATACCTCTGTCCCATTCGTGTTTCTATCGTGAAGCAGATGTGTTTGCATGGCTGTGTTTCGGTTTGAAGAGTGGGATATGGCGTAAATTTACAGGGTACAGAGGAATAACACCTGAGTCCTCAGGAATGGCAATGGCAGGGGGGTATCATAAGCGAAACAGTGTACTCTGTCATGTCCATGGTACTGCTCATGTCTATAGGTGACGACGTACGTGACGAAACCATATGGTTAATTCTTGTCGAATTCATCATGGTGGGCCAACTAACCTGCATTCATTCTCATCTATCATCTTGCACTGGTGCCCCGCCAGTGTATATCGATAGCACGGGCGGGGTTACCAATCCATTTTCATCTATTAAAAAAAAAAAGTATCAAGAGTGTGTATATCCAGATTATTTATTCTCATGATACTATCAAGAAAATAAATAGTTACCGATTTAAAGTAGTTTATCCTATATCTTGGGGCACAGCACTTAGTGTTAGAGCGGCGGCCGCCATGTTTGCTTATCTCTCAACCATCGTACGGGTTATCGTGAACACCCTTATGTCTCAGTCCTCTATATTCTACGTGACTAACTATATACTAATCGGGTTATGTATATATATATACAATTTTATTGTGCATATATATATATATATATATATATGCACAATAAAATTGTCTTTCCATAAATTTCTCTCATTAGAAGGGCGAGGGGGGGGGGGGGGGGATCAATAGCTGTCACGCTTGACAGGCGGGTTGGTAACAACAGTTCGGCTTTAGTCTTGTTTAAAAGGGACGCCACTGTCCATCCTTCGACTGTTAAGAAGATTTTAAAGTGGGCTATGCCTATAAAAAAAACCTATGCCTGTTCCACTCATGTTACCACTACCAAGCAACTGTGGTTGCATGGCTGATTCTGTTAGAAGAGTAGGTAGGATGTAACTACTCTACAGTAGAGGAAAGGGATTGTTAGTAATGGAGACTGAGAATCCCATTGCTAGCAATATAACCAATCAGGTCGACCTCCTCGCGGTTTCCCCTGGAAACTATCATGGTTAATTCCTGATGAATTCATCATGATGGGCCATTTATGGCATGGAATGACAGGCCAGTTTGGCCTGTTTTCATTCTCATCTATCACTTTTCACTGGTGCTCCGCCAGCGTATTCTATGTATAATATATAAGTGTGCCTTAATAAATAAATACCTTAGTCCTCCAAAATAGCAATGCAATAGGAGTACCATGGGCTTCACAGTTACACATTAGGCTCGTAGATTTATTCAAAGCTGTGATAAAATATCAACCCTCATCTGTCATGAGGGTTGTCATTTTACATCAGACGAGTTGACAGTTTAGTTTATTCTGAGTTATATAAAATTACAATGGCTCAAATAAAATTTTATTTTACATTTTGATTAATTGCTTAATAAATTCAGCAGACGATATGTGGGAAATTTAATACATACATACATACA